GAAATGTGCTCTCTGGGGGGCGGGGCAGGGAGCAAATGGCTTTTAATGGTGTTAGCAAAAAGGCAAACTTGCAGCATGCTCATGATGAATAAATGGCTGCAAAGTGGGTTGCTGAGAAGAGTTCAGACAACTGAGAGATTTTTGTGATTGCATCCAGAGTATTCTCACTACTCAAATCATGATAGTTTGTGTACTGTTCTCTGGTTTGGAGGGTTGTGTGCTTTTTTCTTTGCATGTTTTTAGTGCCTGCTTCTGGAAATGTGCATCTCTGCCAATAAAACCTGGACTCCAAGCTGGATCCAGAGATGTGATTCTGGTGATGGGAGCATGCTGTGACTCCTCTGTCACCCACCAACCATCTGCTTGGACAATGCCCTTAACATGCTTTAACTTTTGGTTGGCCCTGAAGTGGTCAGGCAATTGGACTCAATGATTGTTTTACATCCCTCCTAAATGAAAATATCTTGGTCTATTGTACTTCTTATATAAGACCACATTCAGAGTTCAGTTTCTGGAATCTTAGTTTTTTTTAAATCAAAGAACTTAGGGCAATTCCTACAGTGACATTTGGGAGTTCAAATAAAGTAAGATAAACCATGTTTTCCATAGCATGGGAGCAGGTACCCTAGGGTGAGGTGTAGAATCCTGTCCTGGTTCTTGTTTTTAAAGTGAATTCTTGCTGAAACTGCCTAAAGAAGCAAAATACACCTGTTCTTCCAAAACCTGTTTTCCATCAGGCTCTTGATAGTAGAGAGTTTTCTGGCTAGGTAATAGTATTTTCTTGATTAACTAAAACCCAAAATGGAGCAGCAAACAATCTCAAACCTGTTCCTGCTGCTGCTTGCTCCTAGTGCTCCATGATGGAACTGCAGGGCTGGGGAAGCAAACTGGGGCTGAGGGCACAATGAGTGTTGGGAGCTGGAATCACCCAGAAACCCCTCTGCAGTGCTGGGTATTGTGTGTGGTGATGGGGCAGCTGGTGTATCCCCAGCACCCCAGGCCATGTCCTTCAGGTGCCTGCCTGCTGGCTGGGTCTGTGAGGTGACCAGCACTTTCATTTCCTGATGTGTTCTCTGGGGAGGGGATGTTTGTTTCACTGCTCTGATGTGCCCTGTGCATCAAAGTGCGTTTCTGTTTTACTGAAAGTGCTGCCAGGAAGAAGGTTTTGATTCCCCCAATATTTTCCTCCCAGCATCACCCCAGGGGTCCCACGTGCCTTACAGGCTTTGTGCTGAAGCACAACAGCAGGGCAGATATGCACGTCATGACTAGCACTGCTGAGAATTAAACCAAATTAATTGCAAATCATTGTAAAACAGGGCTCGTACGGGGAAGGGCTGTTAAACCTGTGAGCAGAGCTGTAACTTTTTGTGAGAGATCCTGGCAGGGCACAGTGGTAAGCTATTCCCTGCCCATTAGAGACCTGATTGCACACGGGATAGATTAGAGCAGAGTTGGATGGAAGGTAGTGCTGGCTGATTTGGGGCAGATTAGAGGGCTTTTTAAACATAAGGTCACGGATGGCTAGTGGTCAGAGTTCCAGCTTAGTGTTTGCATGCAGCAGCTTGGTGTACTCGGCAGAGAGGAGCTGTGTTGTCAGGTAGAATAAATAGCATCTACCTAAGGTGCAGGATTTCCAGCAACATCTGGATTTACCAGGGGCTCAGATGGCTTTCCTCCTGGCTGCAGAGGCCCACCATGTGCTGGGGAGTGTGGCCACTTCAGCGAAAGTCCAGCTGGCACAGATGGGTTTGTATCTGGTTTACCATTCCGTAGAGAAGCAGCTCCTGAAAAGATGTGTGTACTACTAGGAATTCTTATCGTTGCTTGAGCTAGAAATTTGGATTCAAGTAAATGTCTGTCAGGATAACTTTAGACTGTCAAGAATAAATTGGTGGATCTCTGGAAACAGAAATGGCTCTTGTAGTTTTCAGATATTTTTTTTCTTTGAAAGCAAATCTTTAATTATACAATACAGAAGCATAATATTTTATATTAATTTATAGATCAATTAACTTTGTTCTTGTAATACAAACTACAGGGTATTTTAATTCATTTTCAGACTGCAAAAATGCACAGCTAGTCCTTGTGTTAGAAAAATACCATTTAATGGAAACCATGTCTTGCATTCTCAAATGATACAGATCTGCATCGAGGATCTGCTTCATTTACTCAATATTTGTGGTTTACCTAGAGGTTGAAATGTTTCGGGTTTTTTTTGTTTTCTGGAACCAATTTTTCTATTCCTTTTCTAGAGTATTATTCTGCACTGCCTCTGTTCAATCACTTCTCTTTATTCAGATGGTAATGTGCTATGTTTGTATCTTGTGAACCTCTGGCTAGAGAGTGAAATTAGCATATTAGGAATAGAATTGAAGACTGTTTCTTTGTGTGGTTTTATTTTATAAATAGCTTACAGGAGAGGATGCTGTGTTTTGTAAATGGTTTCCAGAGCTGAAATCCAATGGGCCTTTGAATGGTGTGGCATTTCTATTACCTTAGTCTGTGCTTTAAAGTGGATTCTTTCTGTTATTAACACCTACACAGCAGGGATGATGCAATGAACTTTCTTACACATTTACTATTCTAATTAAAATGTCTGCATTCTGATGGTATTTTCTTAGAACTGGAGAAGTGCAAGCAGGAAAGCTGGTGCTTACTTGAGCACTACCCTTATTGCAGATGGCACTTGAGAATTGGAGACTCTTAAGATATTTGGCAGGAACTGGTTTCCTTCCACTCTTCTCTATTTTCGGGAAAAATGTTTTCTATTTAACTCAGATTCTGAAGCCTACCTGAAAACGTGTGTGAAATGCATCTGTAACAGTGACAAACATGATGTAGAAATGTTTAGGCAATTGAAACAGTGAAGAAGAAACCATATTGCCTTTTTATGATTGTTTTTTTTCCATAGATTTGTGGGCTGCAATTTACTGAGTGTGGCCCTTTTCCTGCTTTTCTTACATTAAGGAAATTTAGTCCCATTTCTTCTGCCTTATACTAGCTGTCCTCAACAACAGCTTAGTGAAAGCAGGTTTCTTTTTTTCCTCTATGACAAATGAGCTGATGATAATAGAGACTTATGTGAGAATTAGTTAGTTTTGTAAGACTTATTATTATCTGATAGGCTTAGGTGCAAAGAAGCAGATTTTCTGTGTTGAGTAGCTTGTTGCTAAACCTCTTCCTGAGCTAAAACTCTGTTGCAGTCAATCACTTTATAGTGAAATGAAAAAGTACGTGCAGTTTGTATGCCAGACTAATATACCAGTTCAGATTTGTGTATCCACACACTGGCCCAGCCTTTTCTTATGGAGAACCTTACTTCTGTGCTGGAGGACAATTCCTCTTTGGTTGTTAGGTATGAATCCCAGGCAAACTTCACCTACACCCAGTTCCAAACTGAGAGGCACAGTCTGCCAAGAGGATGTGTATGTATAGATGTGTGTTGTAAGTTTTAGAGACCTATTTTTGCTTCAGGTAATCTTCAAGGTTCTGACTTTTCCATCCCTTGTGGTGTAAAGGCTTGTTTTCCTGCTTTGTGCAACTTCAGATAGATACAAAATAAAACTGCCCCAGGAAATGTGTGTGGATGCTGTGTGACATCTAGTTCTAGCTTGGTTTAGCTCACTTCTCTGGTTCACCTTAAAGCACTTCCAAACCCACCTATTTATTTGGTACGTGTGATGGTTCAGGGAAGGTCATGTGTTTATATGGACATAATAAAGGACAAATTTATTGTACTCATGCACATCTGTGATGCTTTCAAAAGAGCTTTGGTTCAGTTCAGCTCAAGCTGAGTCCTCTTATTTCCCCAAGAAAAACTATTTCCCCATGTTTGACTAATGATTAGGATGCTGCTGTGGCCCACAGACACTTTGGAAGGAGCAGCCTCCTTCCTTGATGGCTTTGGGGTCATGTGTCTCTGCTGGAAGATGTGTTGTGGCCACACTTCTGCTGTGAAGGTAGAGTGAGCAGGGCCACCAGGATGTGCTCTGGCATTCAGAAGCACTGTGAAGCTTCAGCGAGCCCAGTGCTGCTTGTGCCACTTGCTGTGGGTGCAAAAGGAGGGGTCAGGAGCTAAGAAAATAAACCTTAGCCCTGGCCAGGAGGAGTGGGAGGGTGCAACTGGTCTCTGTTGTGAGAGCAGTACTGGAGAGAGAAGTGGTGAAGAGAGGAAGAATGATAAGAGGAAATAAAGACAAACCCAGATAGTGTTTGGGAGCCAGCCAGAGTGTAAACAAATCATCTGGGAGGTGAATTTGGAGTGATATCAAGTGAGGACAGACTGTGAATGGATAAAACCAGGGGAAGGTAATTTGAGAGCATGGATGTATACTGAGATCAAGAGGAAACGTTATCTTAATCCTAGTGTTTGGAAAACTGTAGGAGGGAAGATGTGAGATGAAATGGAAGAGATAGGTGCACTCTATGGCCCCAGATAGGCTGGGTGCATAAAAGCAAGTCATCACAGTATGTGCTTGAAATTTGGTAGCAGGTTGGAGAGGGTGTCAATGTGTGTAGCAGAGAGGAGGGATTGTGTATTTATAATTCCATTAGCAGCTCTAACAGTGTCACAAGCACAAGATAGAAGCTAAAGGATTACCTGGCCCAAAGGAATGTGGGCTTTGAATGATAGTCTCACCATTCAAAATTTGCAGAGTACTGGTTTAAAATTACAGCACTGAGTATAATATAAAAATATTTAAAGGAAGCAACCGTGGAACAACTATAAAATATTTTCCTTCAATATATGGTAAAGGGGTTTTTTGCCTCCTTTGTCATGAAGGTTTTTTGACACATGATTTTTAATTTTCCCATGTGGAGAAGCTAGTTGTGAAGAAGCAGAGATAATGTCTCTTATACAGCAGTGACAAGTTCTTGTCATTAAAGGTGCAGGTCAAAAAATGTGTATGCTTGGCAGATGCTGGAAAGCCAAGAGCTTGTTTTATGAGTGGAATCAGATAGCCTTTCCGTTGAATTTATTCTGTTCTGCTTTGCAGTTGAAAGATGCATGAGTGTTATGCAGTCTGGGACTCAGATGGTTAAGCTGAAGAGTGGAACCAAAGGGCTAGTTCGTCTCTTCTACCTGGATGAGCACAGGACCTGCATCCGCTGGAGGCCCTCCCGGAAAAGCGAGAAGGCGAAAAGTAAATGTCCATGTTTCTTCTCTTTTCTTGGGCAGTTCAGTGTTAGATTGTGCATTACAGAGGGAAACTGAAACAATAGTTTTGCATCAATTAAATGCTTTTGGGTGCTTATTTTAAATGTGGCATGTTACTTACGTGAAGGGTTTTCAAGAACTTAACCATCTACTTAAAGTTCAGGGTTATGAAAGGAAAGGGGTGTGTGGTTCAGTCAGAAGTTGACATTTTCCATAGGTTTATATAAATTATGAGCACACTGAAGAGTGACTGGATAGCAAACTATGCTGAACTCTTTTCAATCTATACATCAATATTTAAATACAGAGCCTAGAAAAATTCAGATTGAGGTAATTTTCTTGAGGCATTATTGAATCTGGAAGTTACTGTGCAGCATTATTTCTCACAGAAGCTGTTCCTGCTGCCCTGTTTGTAATTGGAAATTCAAATTAGTGATTTATTGAATAGAATAAGGAGTAGAATTTTACAGAGCTGTCACAGAGGCTTGAGATTAAAAAACAAGCAGTTGGGAAGGCCACAGATAATGACAGTTGATGTTTTTGAGCCAGTACATAGTGGCCAAGAGCTGCTGCTCAAAAGCAGAAAGAAATGAGGTGGGTATCCCAGCACACCAGTGTTTGCTGTCCTGTTCCCCGCAGTTGTCATTGATTCCATCTACAAAGTGACGGAAGGCCGGCAGTCTGAGATCTTCCACCGCCACGCAGAGGGGAGCTTTGACCCCAGCTGCTGCTTCACCATTTACCATGGCAACCACATGGAGTCCCTGGATCTCATTACCTCGAACCCAGAGGAAGCTCGCACCTGGATCACAGGTCTGAAATACTTGATGGCTGGAATAAGTGATGAGGACTCGCTCGCTAAGCGGCAGAGAACACACGATCAGTATCCTTTGTGGGCCTGGGCTCCAGCTCCAGAGGCAGTATTCCTGCCTTGTTTTTTAGTGACTTCAGTCCTGTGACCTCCTGCTCATGACCAAACACTTTGCCATTGATTGTGATGGAAACTTGAGTTACGGGTTTGACATGAACGCTTGCCTGGGCAATAAAACATCCCCTCTGCCTTAGGGACTAGACCAAAATCCAGCGTGATGCTGGGACAGACTTGTATTTTCTTAGTGAAATTCTTACTGAAGAGTCAAAACAGTCACTTCTAGTTATCTCAATAAATACTAACCCCAACATGATTTCAGGATTTCTGGAATCTTCTGTTTGCCCAATTGTTCTTTTATTCTTCTGCTGCAAATTGCAAGCTCAGAAGCCACTGTTTTCAAGTTATTACTAATTGAATACTTGAATTTGTTTGCATGGCTAAATCCCTAATGTTTTTGGGAGCCTTTCAATAATCTGACTAGTAACTCCTAGTCCCCTCTACTAGCCACTGTTTTCAAGTTATTACTAATTGAATACTTGAATTTGTTTGCATGGCTAAATCCCTAATGTTTTTGGGAGCCTTTCAATAATCTGACTAGTATCTCTTCTACCCCTCTACTCTTGGTGTTTGTATCTGTGTGTACTTTTCAGCCTCCATTGATTGTCAGGAGCACAAATCTTTAAAGTTCCTTAAATGTTGTAGCCTGGTAACCAAAATGAACTTCTTGTGAAGATCATGTACATTGAGTATTTTCTTGATGTGCTGTTTTTCACAACAGTGCTGACTAGTATGCTAATTACAAAAATATTTTTCCTTAAACTGAAAAAAAAAAACCCAACCCAAAGCAAACCAACTAACAAACCCATTTTGGTTAAAATGGTAACCTTTCCTTTCAGCTACACAGAAATCTACAGTGGGTCACTTGTATGTGCTCCATCTGGAGAATATACACCCTTCAGGCACTTTTAATTTAGATTTTCAGTGCTTAATTATGATACAAAGATAGGCACAGAGCCATTTGGGGGAATATGTTACATGCTCTGTTGCACACATACTCAGCTTGCTATATTTATCCATTACTTTTCCGAGCTGCTGTATGTTCTCTACTGGTAAAACATCACTTCAAGTCTAGTTTGTGTTATCAAATGTGGCAGCTTGGAGACTGCAGACAAAAAGACCCTTTGCCAGTTCCAGCTAGTGTGAGAACTTGGCAAAAGCTGTGAAGGGATGTATGTACAAAGAGGGGGTAAAAGGTATGGGTTAGAAAGTGGGGAAGTTCAAGCAGAATGAAGGGAGAAGCAGAGAAGACATAGGAGCAAGCCCAGAAATAATTGAGTACCTGAGTACATTCTCAGAGGAGCAGCTGGCAGCAGGAAACAGGAATGAGCACAGCAGGGCTGGAGTTGTGAACATAGCTGTGCATAATGGTCATAAACCTGCATCAGTTTTAAGGAAACTGTAGCAAGGGCAGAGGGAAAAAATTGTTCGGTGTCACCTCAACCCCTTGTACACCTGCAGAATATCCCAAAAAAGACTGTTAGAGATGAGCCATATGCTGCATGAAGAACCACCTCTTGTTTTCTGAATTTAACAGCTGCTAGCTTAATTTTATGCCATTTTGTCCTTGTGAGGGGAGAAACAGCAGATCTATGAGCCCCATCCATTTTCTCAGTGGAATTTAGAGTTCAGTGAGGTTGTTGGTGCCCTGTGCAAGGTGTGACACAAGGTGACAGCAGAGGTAGTGGAGAAAGTAGTGGACAACAAAGTTGTCCAGAGCTGGAAGAGTTAAATATGTTGATGGGGAACTATGTGAGTCCTGGAAGAGAGAGCATGGAAAAACAAGAGTGGTTAATTTTTAATGAGGTTCTTAAGGAAAACACAGGCAGATAATAATGTACTGGGGCTGATTTTACAGTCTTCCATCCTCTTGCAGTAGGTTAATGTCATCCCTGATACAGATGGCTGTTGAGCTTGATTCCTTGGAGTCAAGTCACAGAGCCAGTAACCCTGAGATGTAACTCCATGCAGGTCAACAGTCTGAGTTGTACTGGGTAGGAGGTACATAGCAAATTGTACCAGATGGCATACAGTAGTAAAAATGCTTTGGTTTGGCACCAGTGTGGGGAGAAAAATGTTGATAGCATCAGATCTTTGCCAGCAAGGACTTTATTTCATTATGTTCCCCAAGAGCAATAAAGCAGGCTGTGAGAAGTCTTTAATTCAAGTGTTTTTCCTAGAGACACTGACTTGAAAGATACATGTTTGTGAAGGTTGGATTGAGTAATGCTCAGTTCTTCTGCCTGGAAGATGTAAAGGTCCTCTGCTGAAGAGTTATGCCTCTGCCCAGAAGAACTGAGACAGGGCTTTGTTCTCCTGACTTTGAGCCTTGTCATTTACATGCCCAACTGCTCTACCTCTCTCCCAGTGAGGAAATCACCTGCTTGTACCTTTCCTTGACACGTCTGCAGCTGGGTGAAACAGACCTTTGAGGAGGCTGACAAGAATGGGGATGGCCTGCTGAATATTGAAGAGATCCACCAGCTGATGCACAAACTGAACGTTAACCTGCCCCGCAGGAAGGTCCGGCAGATGTTCCAGGTTGGTGTCCTCTGATGCACAGCACTGCTGTGGTGAGGTGGTGCCAGTTACCTCTGGTTCTGGACAGACCCAGAATAGGATTTGCTGGTCAGGACTTGCACCCTGTCCTTCTCAGCACCTCGCAGAGCTTTTACAAGTCTGAGCTTGTTGTAGACAAAGATGCATCAGAGCATTGTTTTATTGACATGAACCACATAGGAGACAGTTTATTACTTTTCAGATGCATTATTGTTTTCATCCCTGAACTGAATTGGTCTCTCTTGGCATTGATGGACAATGCAGTTACTCAGTTTCTATTGAAAACTTTTTAAATTTCCTTTCTGGAAATTGTTTGCTAGAAACTAGGTTTATGAAAGTAATTATATATTTTTAACAACTTCCTCTGACTTAGCCAGAATCACTTATTTACATCTGTTGCCTGCAAACAGTTACCATTTTCCACCAGCCCTAGTGTTTACTGTAGGAAAGGTAAGATAAGCCCAGGACATAATGGAGAGCAAAATAACATTTTCTTAACTCTTCAAAAACAGGACCAGGCAAAATCTGCCTTGCTTTAAAATGTGGGAAAGTTGAAGAATCTTCTGTAGTCAAAAGTGCTTTGTTTGTCTGGCATAAAGTGTGCATTGGGGTGCATCTGTGGATGTTACTCCCCAAAGACTTGAGAAGTGTGGAAGCTGGCAGGGCTGTGTTGCACAGGTCAATTTGGGTTGTATTTGTTCCTACAAGTTAGAAATGTCATTTAAGTTACGTAGTAGATATAAAGTGTTTTAAAATCTCATTTGACACCAGATAGGAATTATTCTCAGCTTACTTGCTGTGATCCCAGTTTGCAGCTCAGGTGGCAGTAGCACTAGCAAGGTGCAATGAGATGCAGCTCCCTGAGGTCAGTGGGTTGTGCTGCTGTTGGCTGCTGCAGGAGAGGCAGCTGAAGCTGCTCCTGAGAGGAAGAAAATGTAGCTCTCTGAGCACCTGAAAGTGTAGGGCCATCAGCACCCTCAGCCTTTAACTTTTGGTTAAAAATAAGCTGGTTTTCATCTGTTTATTTTGCTGCAGTTGCTGCTGGCCTATTTCTGAGTTACTAACCTGGGCCTCCCAGGTGTGGTTGAAGTTAAGGGCAAGTATAAAAGGAGTGTTGAAGGTTTGTTTAGGTGATTCAGGGCTCAATCCTAAAGGCCTCACCCCACAAGCAATGCCTTGTGCCAGCAGTCCTGTGGACTGCCAGGACTTAAGGCAGGATAAAAGGAATGGCAAAGTACCTGTGGGACAAACCAGCACCCTTACATCTGGCTACTCTGCACTGCTCTGGCACTTGATCTGCAGGCGTGGGTTTTTGTGCCTGACTTGGTGTCAGGGTTTCAGACATGGCACACTCAGCCCCCAGGCAGGGGGGGCACTGGTGGCTCTGTAGGGTGTCCAGGCTTAGGAAGCAGCCAAGCCCTGTGTCTGGGAACAGATTGAGGGGCTGCTGCTTTAGTTGAGCATATGTACGAGGAGTCACTGCTGCAGAGATGGGTTCCTGTTCTAAGAGGTGCTTAACAGTGGAGTGATTTATGTGAAAGGAAAGTAAACCTGGGTTCTTGGAAAGCAAAGCTGGCCAATGTGTTCATTGTATCTGTTACTAAACAAGCCTCTCTTCTGTAGAAGTGAGGTTGAGCACCAACTGGAAGAGCTTTCTTGAGAAGGAAGAAGTGATAGCAGGATGAAGTTACTCTCCACCTGGAGAAGAACTTGCATTTGGTTTACCAGTGTGGAGAGATGCCAACAGGTTCAGAGCCAAGTCAGTGTTAAAAGGACTCTTCCCAGAAGGTGTTCTGACCTGGACAGAAGGGAGCACCATTTTTACCAGAACATGACTTGGGATCAGAAGGGGGTTTGTAACTGTGGAGAAAAAGCATTATATGCAGCTATGAACGAAGGATGCTATTCATGGGACCAATAGGACATGTCTAAACCTTTCTGTTGCTTGGTCTCCATTATCTGCTTACAGCCTCAAACTTGGCAAGAGTTGTAGCTTCCCTGAAGTTTGTTTCTCAGGGACATCTACATAATGTTTGACATCAGCTCTCCAGAACAGACTCTTTGTTTTGAAAATCCAAAGCAATCCTCTTAGGCAGATGTTCACAGTAGAAGGCTTGTATTAACATGCATTGAGTACTGTTGTCTTCTCTTTCTACCTCTGAGGACAAACAAACTGCCACTAAGTCTGACACTATTTGGCATATTTTTGGTGTGGAGTCTTACTGCTGCTGCAGGCTTGTCCTCCCCTGCAGAGTGCTGACAGGTGCTGAGAGTATTGCCAGTTGAGTTAACGTAGCTTTAAGGCTGTGATACTGTCCTGAATGTTTTATAATGGCAGGCTGTTGTTAGAGAAAGTCACAGGGTGAAATTGTCACCTTCCTTGCTCTGTTTTTATCTGGGATAACTGCAGAGCATATAGGAGAGTAAAAGAGATCAGAATAAAGTCCAGGGTGAGCCTCTTTACATGGGAAAAAAATTCAAAACCAAAGATGGAAGGAATTGAGACTTGGATAGGGAACCTGTGGGTTTAGTGTAGTAAATGTTTTCACCAAAAAAATTCCAATAGATGGTATAATTTTGCAGTTGTTTTAGCCTCCTAGGATCTGAGTCTGAACAGAGTCTTGCAAACTGGAATTTATTAAATTTCTGTTTGTGTAGGTAAATCATGTTCTACTTGTCTGTCCCAGAATTCACCCATGTTTAGCATGCTTATCTGAGTGCCTTTATCTCTTAGGAAGCAGACACAGATGAGAACCAAGGAACCTTAAATTTTGAAGAATTTTCAGTGTTTTACAAGATGATGTCCTTACGTCGAGATCTCTACTTGCTGCTTTTAAGCTACAGTGACAAGAAGGATCACCTCACTGTTGAAGAACTTGCTCAGTTTCTAAAGGTGGAACAGAAGGTATGGGAATACTGTGCATCCATATGTACATGTAAATGCATTCAAGTATAGAGAGAATTTTATGGAAAAGTTTAGCTTGGGGCAGGGGTGGGAAAGAACAAATGTTGTAGCAGGTGTAAAAAAAAAAATACCTAAATGCCTTATTGTTTTTTAAATTATTCTAGAAAGACTGAACTTGTTTGGGCTCTGGGGCAGAAAGGCAAGTGTAGGGCAATATGGTTCATGTGGTATTCAGGGAACATCCACCCTTAGTCACAGCTGAGGATCACCTGTCTCAGCAGGGCTGCTTTCTCCTGCCTACCTGGTCTGGCTTGATTGTTTTGTGGGGGGATGTTTGTTTGCAGGACATGTCATTTATGAGTCAAAGTCTTGGCAGATACATTCTAAATGAGGATGATACATTAGATGTTTTAAAGCTATAAACACATGGGAAAGTAAGAAAAGCAAACTATTTCTGGTTATCTGCAAGTAGTTTGTGCATGGCTTGATGCAGTGACATGTTAAGGTGAATCCTGGTGTTTTCATGTCCTTCCTGACAGCAAAATTGACTCCTACAACACTTAGGTTACTATAAAAACTGTTACTAAGACTGCAGTAGAAATATTGACAACCACCCCTTAAATGTTGCCTAAATATGTATTAAATTTTAAAGGGAAGATTGTACTTTGTGATATAATAGAAAGTGGGATATTGTACCAACTGGCTGGGGGGAAGTTTTTTCCTCCTTCTGTGTCTTTCCTGATTTTTTTGTTAGGAAAGTCTGTTTTCCAGGCATTCCTCACAGATATGTGGGACTTACACAAAGAAAATTTCATGTCTGAAGTTTGCATTTGTATCTGAAGCACCTCAGAGAGAAGCCATTGAGAGAGTTGGGGTTCAGGGAACAGATGCCCTGACAAGGAATTTTAAAAAGAAAAATAAAATTGAAAAGGAGCATGAGTAACTTAGGAAGCAACGTTGGGTCAAAATTAGTGATTTTTCCCTGATGTGCTTGTCAACCAACTTGCTGAATTAAAACATCTCTAGCCATTTCTAAAATTATTGCTCCAGTGGAGATTTTCATGCCCATCTTGAAAGAAGCTGAATTACTACCAAAATTACCAGAGGAAAACATGGAGAGAATTTGTGCTCTGGACAGTGGGGAGCACAGAAAGAACTTCGTGATCTCATGTTTGCTTCTGGCAATTGTGTGTATTTCCAGGGTGTTGTTCCAAAACAACCTCACAGAAATAAATGCTAGCACCCCAACCTACTTGAGCTTCCTGGGTATGGATGCTGTATTTGTCTGTGACCACTGAATGAACTCCTGTACCACTCTGGGATCCTGCCTGCCATGACTGCTTTTTTTCTGAGCTATCCCTAGCATAAAATCTCAACAGTCTGCTGTTTGGTTGTTAAATTTCCCCCTGTTGGCCATGATGGCAATTCCCTGGCATGGACAACTTCCCACTTCTTTCTTCCTCCTCTGTGACACATGGAGCACTGTCACACCACCCATGCTGTTTGGTTGCTAAATTTCCCCCTGTTGGCCATTATGGCAATTCCCTGGCATAGACAACTTCCCACTTCTTTCTTCCTCCCCTGTGACACATGGAGCACTGTCACACCACCCATCTTGCTGTGGCGGCCTCAACACAGTTTCCTGTAAGCAATCTGGTCCTGGCAATTCTGCTGATTACAGCTTTAAAGCACAAAATGCTTGTATGTTTTTCCCTTTGTGCTGTGGCCCTCAGTCTTCTGAGCTTGCTGCTTTTGCCTTTGTTTCATTTTTAATCCCTGCCTTCTGCTTGGGTGCCCTTCAGAGGAGCACCCTTGACAGCAGCAGCAGCAAGGTTGACACTGATGAGAAAGCAAAGAAATGCTCCAGGGAGAACCTATTCCTGGAGATGCTAAAGTGCCCAGGAACAGCTGAAGAGCAATGGTATGAGAGAGCACTCAGGGACCTAGAGCAGGAAGAAAAACATGTGAAAGAGACAAGAGCTGTCTGTGGGTGCACAAGGATGTTGTGAAACTACTGATACAGTAGAAAAAACAAGTTGACTGTCAAGTCTGGCACATTGCAGTCTCTCCTTTGTCTATTCAGAGCGCTGACTGTGAACAGGGTTATTGGCTATAAATGCTCTGCTCAACATTATTCCTCCCCCCACCCCCCAAAAAAAAGTAAAAGCAGGATCTCCACAGATGAACCTCCTGGTGACACTTCAGAAGCACATTGCACTTTCTTTACCTCTTGCCTCTGGTCTTCCCGCTTCCCAGGATTAAAAGTGTTGGAGCAGATCTACCCTTTGATGGTTTCAGAACACAGACATGGTAACAATGTCCTCGGGTGAGACAAGATTGCCTTCAAAAGCTGATAATGGTTCCCATCATAATGCAGCCCTTAAGTGCCTTCAACCAAAGAGCAGTTTGTTTTTGCTCTTGTCTGGCTGCTTGGAAATCTGTGGACAGTCTGTCCAACTCCATCTGCTGCTCTTTTGGCAAGACTCTTAAATACTCTGCAGCCTGAGGATAGAACAAAGGGGGGTTGGATTTTTTTTTAGCTTGCTAAGCTGGGCTCTTTTTTTAGGAGAGCTCCCTGCTGCCTTCACAGAGCTTGTGAAACAGGTTATTTCCACCCAGGAGCAGTTAAACTCAGCTTATTGCTGTTGCAATTGCAAGTATATGGCTTCAAACGTCAGAAGAGCAGAACATAGTCTGGTTTCCTGGAATGACTTCTGGTCCTGCTGTCCTCTTAGCACAAGTGGCTGTGAGGGAGCAGCATCTCTGGCTGTCCAGTCATGCTTATGTTGTCCTTTTGGGGATGTCCTTTCTTAATAAACCCAATCACTGCGTGACTTGGTCCTCCCCAGGGATTGACCTCCTGCTATAGGACAATTATTTCTACAGCAGGATCTCTGGACTCTTTTGACTGACCGAGCTGGTCTCATAATTATCCTTGAGTAGTGGGCTTGGGTGAAATAAACTCTACAAGCACCATCTTCCCTGTTGAGGAGCAGCTTTGCAGCTGCTGGCTGCTCTGGACCCGCGTTGCAGAATGAGCGGCCTCATTCTGCCATGACCTTGGAGCCTGTGGGGCTGCTGCCCATGCTGGGGCTCAGCCTGGCCCTGGCCCTGGTCTGCTGTCTGTCTGTCCTTCCCTCCTCCTTTCTGCTCTACCCGTATCACAGCAAGTGCTTCTATTTCAGTCCTGGCAGAGACCTTTGGCTCTTGTGCCGATGGCTTTATGCAGAGATGAGGCAGGTTTGGTGCTACAAACCTGGGGAGTTTAGTTTGGCTCCCTGGGGTGGCTTTCCCATGTGCCTGCTTGCCACCTGCTGCCTTCCCATGGATCACTCACTTTGCTGAACAGTTTTCATCTGTCCTGAGCAAAAGGACAGCTGAGAGGTTGCCTCCAGCAGAGTTCTCTGCATGCTCCAGAGAAGTGCTGTATGTCCTGTGATGTGCCCAGTCCTATTCCCGAGTGACGGGACCAGATGGAAGTGCTGCTGCCATGCCATTGGATTGGTGTCACACCAGTATCTTCTGTGTTAAAAAGGGCTGCTGCTATGTGCAGCCCATATGAAACTGGTGGCAAAAATTAATGCCCCTGCTCATTTTAATTGAACTGAAAAGGAAGTAATTTTATAACAATTACACCCTCGGAATATGCCCATCTGGTTATGTAAAGCTTTCACTTAATTATTCAATATGGGTTAGCACATTTGGGATTAAGCCTGCTCAAGAGAGTAAGTTTGCTCTTAGTACTTGTCTGCACTAATTATACAGTGTCAGAGGAATAACCAGTGATGCAGTGAACAGTGAAAATGGGACAAACAGTGGTAAGAAGCAGGGACAAAGTACACTTCTAGAAAAGGAATGTTTGGAAGCCACTATGCCTGCTCTCCTGGAAGAAGTTTTAAAGCAATATAGTGAGACACTTTATGCCAGAGAATGTCAGTGTATGTTAGGCTTTGATCAGAAACATGAAGGATTTCAGGAACCAGTGTCCCAAAAGGCACAGGAAATCATAAGAATGTCAGTTTATGTACATGGACTTTGAAAAGAGGAGAGACTGTGGAGCTTGTTAATATCAGACAAGGAAGACAGTACCAGGTCATCACGCCTGGTCAGTCCTTTCTGCTTTCTGCAAAAAAAACAAAACATTTTTCAGCAACACAAAGTCTCAGCAGGAAAGCAAGCTGATGCCTTCCTGCCCCTCTCATGCTTGCACAGAAGTATGATCAGTGTAATGATTCATATGGTGACTCAATATGTCATGACATTTTGCACTGATATCTTGCATGGGAAAGAAATCAGATTAATGTCTTTGCTTTGATTATTTGTTTTTATTTTCCTTATAGAATGGTTAACTGGGGCCAACTGAAGCCTAACCCATCAGAGTGCTGCTGGCAGCCTGCTGGGTCGGCATCACGTCTAGGAACACCTTTCACTGGCATTGCACTTCTCTAACTACTTGCCTTTTGTTTTTGACCCTAACTGCTCTTCTGCTTTGCATTCCTTTCCCTTACTTCCCTGGAGTTTGGCATTCGATTTGTCTGACCTGCTTCCAAAGAGACTGGTAAAATCCAAAGTGATTTCTTCCTTCTTTCTCTTACCTGTGCACTGAAGATTAGAGCTAATGTTGCTTTTTTGTGGTTTTATAGGATTTTATTTTAGGAAAACTCATTGCTAGTTCATTTTCTTAAAAACCAAGGTCTTCTCAGTAATTCAAAGGCTGATATGCTGAAAGAACATTCTGCCTTTAAAGCTTTTAAGCAGGAATTTAGAAAGTAAACCTGTATCTAAGACATTCTGGAAGCTCTGCTATTGCCCATCTTCAGTAATTCAGGTATCTAAATCACTGATCATTACTATTCAGTATAATTTCTAGTGGCATACTTCAAAGCTTAATGAAAGTAGCTGAAGTTGTCATCACTCTTAAGCTACAGTTTAAAAGCCTAAATCAGCAGACTTTCCCTAGCAGATGCAGCTTTGGACTAGATTAGATATTTTCATTCCTAGAGCACACAAGTACTGCCACTCAGCCATCAAGGAGCCTTGTGGGATAATGAAAAAGGTGCTCCTAGCCCCTGTGCTGAAGAGGGGCTGCTCTGAGCAGTGTTTGCAATCATACAGCCACATCCACTTCAGCTAGGAGAATCAGTTAATTTATCCACTGAATTGTTCTCATTCCTATTGTCCTGTGTAATTCCTGCAGGCATCTTACGATAGTTAGGAGATACACATAAAATGTTTGGAGAGGGAAATGGGCTCACACCAGGACAGCCATGCCTTCCCTGTGCAAGAGGGAAAACAGAGGGAAGGGTGAAGGGGAGGAAAGCTGGAAATCGTCTCCAAGATTTTCAGCGTGAGTCATCGTATGAGTTGAGCTGCTCACTTGCCCTCTGTTATTGTCCATCTTATGTTGACATGTCTGGTTTTCCTTCCCCTCCTCTGGCAGCTTTTTGTACTTGGTTGGGCCTTGCAGGTGAGGTGTGAAGAGGTACGGTCAGTCATGACACCCACATTCCCTTGGAGGAACTTGGCAGCATCAGGCCCTTAGAGAAGACCAGAGAGTCAGCCTGGTTGAAGAGGCAGCCTACTTTCAGATTCCTGAAATGGATGCTGATGCTGGGAGTACTGAGCTGTGGGAAATGATGGAAAGCACCATTTGTTAAAGGCTGCAGACACAGGGGAGTAAAGGAATTGGATTTGCTGTCTGGAAGAGAAGTCCATTAGGAAGAGTAGCTCACAGAAGGACCATTTTGGGATGTAAATAACAAATATTCTGCAATCTGCAGGAGGGCTGACCTGCCTCCTGCACTGCCTGGAGCAGTCTTGGTGGCAGAGGGGCCAGGCTGAGGGCCCCAGGCTTCTGCTGCCCTCAGGGCACCTGAGCTGGGGCTGGTGCCAACAGCGAGTGGAAGGATGGGTGAAATGAGCTGCCAAAGGATTTAGAGTCATCATTGCATCCTGTGGTATTATTTCCATGGAGGAGATCAGACACAGTCCATCTTAGCTCTCACTTTGGTTCTCTGCAAGGGAGCAGGAGGGTGAGAAGAGATGAGTGACAAAAGCCACTTCTTTAATTTTCAGGTAATTTAAGTGGTTGGTGATACTCTGGCCCCACTTGTTGGTTAGGGCTTCAATTGTGGGCTAGTTGAAGCTGAGAGCAAAGCTCTTATTCATTTCAGCAGAACTGCTGGTTTTCATTTCAGAATCTAATTATTTCTCTCCTAGCCTGTATATTGCAGTGAGCTCTCTTGGAAGTAATGAAATCACAGAACTGGAAAATGCATGAAAATGAAATCAAACCCTGCAAATCTTTTTGCATGTTTAAGTAGATTGTATTAAAGAATATAACTTCATAGTTCTCATTTCAGCTCTGTTGCCCAGTACAACCATTATGAAGTGTACTTAACAGCTAATTTTCATCTTTACACTAAAATGACACAGCTTTTAAGTGATCACTACCTCCCCTATTTTTCTCCTCAGAAGTAAGAGCCATGAAGCTTGGGCAGCACTGGCAAAAATAAAACAAAAACCTGAATGTCCTTTTACAGCAGTGTTACTGACTGTCCTATTCATATCTGACTGAACTCTGTGTTTGATCATAAGGTATTTCGACTGGAGCCAGAAAACCTGAAGTAGATATTGACGTGCTGGTGGTATCATGGGGAAAAATAAGTGTATCAACACTTTTTTTTTGCAGATGAACAACGTGACACCAGAATATTGTCTCGACATCATACAGAAGTTTGAGGTATCAGAAGAAAACAAGAGGCAAAATGTTCTTGGGATTGAAGGTAAAGCTTTTGATTTGGAAGTTAGTTTTGTCCTGATATGCTGTATCAGAACAGAAACTCTAACAGTGTTTTGGTGCAGCTCACTATATTTGACTGCACCAGCAAGTCACACAGCAGCTCAGCAGTGTGGCTGCATGTTTGTGAGATGTGGGAGAGACAAGTGAAGGTGGGATAAACCTGTGTCCTACAGCTACACATCACAGTCCTATCCCAATGGGAATGCCTTGGGCTTGCAGGAATTTACTGCTAACCTTGTATTTGTGAAACACACATGTAAACCACTCTAACACTATGTATCTTATAGTATAACCTGTTCTGGCTGAAGTAATAAAAGCCAAATTTTCATTCTGCTCCATCTCTGGAATCGTTCCTGTACACTCCTTTGGTTTGTGCTTGTGTGAATAAAATACAGATAGTTGCATTTTCTTTGGGTTTTATACTGTATTCACCTTGTTTGCTAAATCAATTGTTGATAAAATAGTTATCCAGAGTCCAGCTTAGCATCAAACCAAAATCTGAATTGGAAGAAAATAGATCAAATGCTGGACAGGTTAATTTGCCCAGAAGAGCTTTCATGAAGCAGCACAATTTACATGGTGGGTTGGGGGTGGGAGGGAGGAGAAATCTTCCTCTGCATGGTGTCCAAATCCTGAATATGGCCTCCCAAATTTTAAACAAGGGTCTGGTGTGACACTAGGCACTGCACTTAACCTGAAATAAGGAAAGCAAAATGAACAGGCTGTGACATTCAAGAAAATATTTTTGAACACACTTCTGTTCCTTTTAATCTTCTGTTGCTGCTTTTATGTTTGCATTGCTTTCAGGGTTGGTATTGTTTGCACTGTCCTTTGGAAATAGTTTACATTTCTCATTCTCAAAGCAGGTAGTTTTAAAACTTTCTCCGTTCAACACTCGTGGTTTGTAGGGATGTAAACCATCTTGCACAGAAACTTGCAGCATAGAGATAATTAAACTAGAGTGGAAGTGGCTGGGTTAGTGACTTGTGGCTCAGCTGCATTCTCTCTGCAGTACCACCCAGATGAAGAGATCATTTTTATCTCACTGAATAATTCTGAGGGAGGATATTTTCTTCCACTGAGTCTAACAAAACCAGTCACACCTTGTGCTGTTCTGCCCATTAGCAGAGTGGTTGTGTCTGAACTGCAGGAGGCAGTTTGAGCATGCTTGTCCTAGTCTGTGCTCTGGATTTGGTGCAGGGACTTCTCCAGGCTTTCTGAGGAGTTTTTGTCATCGGCATTTTTGTCTTCTGCACTTGGGCAGCAGCTGTATTGATCTGTGGGGTTTTCAGTCTTTTCATAGAGCTGCTATTAATCACTCTTCTGCTTCTCTTAGAATCTGCTTTTTTTGACTGTTGGTTGTTAGTTACTTTCTGAGGAGGCTCAATGTCATGTTTGAAAAATGCTTGTTGATTTATTTATTATTATTTTTTTCAATCATAAAAAAAATCATAAATATAATCTCCAGATTATATTTTCTAGTCCAAAACTGTTTTAAAATTGTCTGGGGACAAGGGTTGGATCTTGGGAATGTATTCTTCTCAGAGGTGTCAGGACTTCCATAGGCTTCAAGAAGGAACACCTGTGTGTGTGCCAGCAGTGGACTTGAGTTTGTGCAGCCCCTTCAGTTTGCAGAGAATCAGGCAAGCCACAGACAGAAAAATATGCTGAAAACCTGGGGTACAGGAAGGTTAACCCCTGCTGTGTGATGCAGTGGTTTTGGAGACACAAGTTAGCACTGTCAAGCACAAACAGAACAAAGTGTTGGGAGTGCACAGCATTCCCCTGGGAAGATCTGCTGCATCCACGGCAAAACTGTTCCTCTGTCTTCAAAGGTTTCACCAACTTCATGCGCAGCCCTGCCTGTGATGTGTTCAACCCCTTGCACTGTGAGGTGCACCAGGACATGGATCAGCCCCTGTGCAACTACTTCATTGCCTCATCTCACAACACGTACCTGACAGGAGACCAGCTGCTGTCCCAGTCCAGGGTGGAGATGTATGCCCGGGTGCTGCAGGATGGCTGCCGGTGCATTGAAGGTAGATGGCCATGCAACTTGCTGCCTCTGACAAGTGTGGTGGTTGTTTCCTTTAAGTGCAAAGTCAGTGACAAACTCCAAGCATTAATGCTTCACTGCCTGATTAGCTTCAGTAGTAAACTCCTATTTTCTAGCAGTCTAAGTGGGGGATTCTAAAAGGGGAAAAACCAGTTTTAGGTTGCAGATTTTTCAACTGATAGAAGACCAGACTGTCTCGTTACTCTTGACTCAAGTGGAAGGTCTTAATAGATTGAATGAAACTTGTTGCCTGCATGGTTGAATAGTGTACCTGTGTCCTACTGGCAAGCAAGATCAGCAGAAATGTGTAAGATCGTGAGCCTCTCTTAATGCATTGCTTTTTTGTCTTAATAGTGGACTGCTGGGATGGTCCAGATGGAGAGCCAGTAGTGCACCATGGCTACACTCTTACTTCTAAAATACTCTTCCGTGATGTGGCAGAAACTATCAATAAATATGCCTTCATCAAGAATGAGTGAGTACAGTTGGTGTTGAAGCTACACCTGTCTGCTTTGTATAGCTAATCCCGTGTCAAAATCAACAGTCAGCATCAGGAAATACATCTGTTCCTTTAAACCCACTGAGAAATTATGAAGTTGATTCTGTTCCCCTCTATTGCCTGTGTCAAATTTATTGTTCACCTGCATGAGCTTGTTCCATTAATCAAGTTAGAAAGTTGAGCCTGAGTTAGGCAGACCTTTCATGCATTGTAAGCTCAGTAATATTTTGAACAGTCTGAGCTGGTTGGATATCTATAGATATTGGTACAGAATGGAGTCAACAGAGCTTCCTGCCCATATCCCTGTGGATATTATTAAAAATCAATACTGGAATATTCTCCACCTAAGGAAGACACTTCAGTAGGGAAGTTGAAAAGCTGTCTGACATAATGTGAAGAAATACTGAGATGTGGGGTGATGCTCAGGTTCTGTGTTGTTTGCCATGGTGCTATGTAGCAGTTTATTATGAGTTTAACCATATATTTATTATGGTCCCAAGTAATGAGTGGGTGTATGAGTAGTTTAGAGAGAATAGAGGGAAAATGCTTACTTTTTTTTATTAAAAAAGAAAAGAAAAAAGAGGAACCAAAAATGGGTGAGGTGATTAAAAAACCCAACAAAACATAAGAGGCCAAGCCCAGAAGTTTGGTGGTGCTGATTTAGAAACAGGAGCTGGTGAATTCAAATCTGAAAGATGTGGTTTCTTCACTCAGTGTATAGCTGGGCTCTGGGGCTCCTTGCCATGGGATTCTGGAGCTGCCAAGAGTTTAGAAAACAACTGGACAAATTTGTGAGAGAAATTTGCTCTTATATACAGAAGCAATGTCTTTAGTCAAGAAACTTGAGCTGCAAATTTGTGAAGCCTGGGAGAGTATTCTGGAAAGTGCTGCTAAGTAATTCTCCTCCTCCAGAGTCTGGGCACCTTTGGTGATTGGGTCTGACTCACTGTAGCTGCACTTGTTGAGCCAAAGGCAAAATGGTTCATGCAGCTATCACTCTTGGGAAGATGAACAGAGTTAGCAAACTCTTTGAATCTGTTGATTTTAAAAGACTTTCCTCCAGGAGCTGCCTGCTGACCACTTGCAGCCTGTAAAGACTTTGTATGTGACTTGCAGAGGAATAGTCTTCAGTTCTACTCAGCTACGTAGAATAAAAAGGTTTTGCATTGCTGATGAGCTTTGTTGCATGTTTTTCTGTGCCTCATGCTGGGTGATCATCAGCTTTAAACTCTGTCACCCTGTGTGCTAGTGATTTGGGCCGGGGGAGAGGGCAGAATCTAAGGGATTCTGAGAGCACAGGGATTTGGGAGTCCTTCCTCCCAAAGTGAGTTTGTTTCCAGACTCCTGACAATGCAAACTGCTGAAATCAGCTTATGTGGTAAGCTGTGTGGGTCTTCTGTCTTAAAACGCAATTGTCTCCAGGTCTGGTGGTTTTGTTTCCAGGTTTCCAGTGATACTGTCCATTGAAAACCACTGCAGTGTCCAGCAGCAAAAGAAGATTGCTCAGTACTTGAAGGAGATACTTGGTGACAAACTGGACTTGTCATCAGTCATCACTGGAGATTCCACACAGCTCCCCAGCCCTCAAAATTTGAAAGGGAAAATCCTAGTGAAGGTAACTTGCTACTGGCAGCATGCTCAAAATGCAACAGAAGTCAGCATGTGGTATTTTTTGTAGATTTCCTTTGGCTCTGGAGAACCAGTTCAGCAGTACCACGTGGAATAGTACAGATGCACTAAATGAGGTAAATGCTGAGCTTTTCAGGGACATTGAAACAGAGTTTACCTCTGACTTGGTGCATATCCTGGATTACTTCTGTGTTTCAACAGGGAGGTGGTGTCAACAGCAGTGGAAATAAAATTCTTTCTATTTCTGAAGCATCTTACCTGAGAGTCTTAGAGGTGTTTATTTTTAAATCTTTGCACTAATTCAGGAGGGCAGAGAAATTACATAAAATGCATTGCTATGAATAGAAAGAACTGGGACACAGTTCCCTGAACCTGGTATGTTTCATTTTGTTGTTTTTCTGGAAGTTTTTTTTGGTTATTGTTTGGGGTTTTGTTTGGTTTGTTTTTTTTTTCATTTGTCTTGTTCCTAGTGGATATTATTCCAGGTGTTTCATATCCATGTAGTATCAAAGCATTATCCTGTAGTGCCTTCTTCAACAAAGCTTTTTGGATTAATAGAAAAGCAAAATCTTTTTTCTTACCTTTCCCCCTCACCCTGCTCTGATCAGTAGTTCATGAAATGAAACTGTTTTCATGGCTCATCAGCTGTGCCTGTGAAAGAAGAGCACTTGAGAAGGTGCCTGTAAGGAGCAGTGAGACAGGAGGCCCTTGAGCACTGTAGTTAGTGTTGTGTGCAAGATTAATTGCTTGAGCCTCCCAGTATAAATGGATTTGCTCTGAAAGGGATTTCAAAGACCAGGATGGATATAATACAGAAATGCAAGGCAGGCCTTTGAGAGGGTGATTAATAGAGTTGTGGGTTATTGGGTTGTCTAATTTACTTTGACACATGGGCCCAGTTACTTCACTGTGAGCTCCTGAGATACTGTTATCCCCCCATTTCTCTGGCCTTTGTATCAAGCTGGCTACAAAGAGTCAATTTTGGTTTGATGTTGATTTGAACATATTTCAGTGTATAGAACAGAGCTGACCGAATGAGAAACCTTTGCGTACTCAGCTGTGATTGTGGATGTCACTGAACCAGTTCTCTTGTGTAACTGCCAGTTAACGAACTGTGCAAGCCTGTAGTGTTGGGGGTTTAGGGACTCAAACAAAGCAGTGTCATGTCGGTCATGAGACCAAACCTGGTTTAAAAGACTGTATAAATGCACAGCAAGCAGGAGAGGTTTGGTGCTGTGCTGCCCTGACATGAAGTGCTGTGTCTTCCTGCCACATCTGAGTTTGTAACTGCAGTTTGACTCTTCAGCTGAGAGTGCTGACACCCTGGGGGCACTTACAGAGTGGGCTGGAGCTGAGCTAATCGTTTCAGAATGAGGAGTACTTGTAAGCCAGTTTCTTATCTTTTGGCTATTTTTTTTTCTGCTTTATACATTTTCCTTTGAAACACTATTGATCATGAAATATCTGGGAATAAACTAAAAAGAAAAATATCTCTTGGATGCTTGCTAGCTTGGAGGGGGGAGATGGTGTGGTATTTTTAAAGAGCTTGCAGAGAGCTTCCCCTCTACTCTGCCCTGGTGAGACCACATCTGGAGTATTGTGTCCAGTTCTGGGCTCCCCAGTACAAGAGGGACAGGGATTAACTTGAGAGAGCCCAACAGAGGCTACAAGGATGATAATCTGGTGTCAGTTTCTTTGGAAACAAATTCTAAACTCTGGTCAGAGTTTAGGTAAGGAATAGTTGAGAAATGGGCTGTTTCGGTTTTTGCACTAAATAACACTGACCATGTGTGTTTTGTGAATATTTTTTTCCTCATTTTAGGGTAAAAAGTTACCATACAGTCTTGGAGCAGATGCTGAGGAAGGAGAAGTTTCAGATGAGGACAGTGCTGATGAGATTGAAGATGACTGCAAATTAAAGCCCTGCTATGTATGTGCAGATATAGTTTCCAGGACTGTTACATCTCTACATCACTTACATGCATACTCCATAATCCTACTGATAGTTTTTAACTTTGATTTCAAAGTCAGGTCATTAAGATATAGAAGTTATATACTTCCACATGTTGTTTGGAAATGCCCACTTTGTCATTTTAAATCACATAAGTAACATATTTAAGTACTGTAGGTGCATTAGACTGAAAGCACTGGTGCCAGCACTGTGAGAGTTCTGGGCTCTGTTCAGGTAGAAGGTGTGTACCTGAGGACCATGACATAATGGGATTGCTGCACAATTTCTAGATTAAAACGTTGAAAGGAGACAGACAACGAAAAAAATTTGAGGTTTGAAACAGTTTTATTTTCTATCCATTTCTTTTTTTGACACTGAAGAATGTGTTCTGTTCCTTTTGTTTCTTAACTCTTAGTTTATTTTTCTGCTGTTCATGGCACATGTCATGTTCCCTCAGACTTTGGTCTCAGAAGGGAGGAACATAATAACATACTTTAACTGGATTTTTTAATGTCTTTCAGAGTAATGGTGCAACTGAGCACCAGGTGGAATCTTTTATAAGAACAAAACTGGAATCTCTGCTAAAAGAATCCCAAATCAGGGACAAAGAGGATCCTGACAGCTTCACTGTGAGAGCACTGCTAAAGGCAACCCATGAGGGTTTAAATCTTAACCTGAAACAGGTATGTGAGGTTTTCCCTTTCGTGTGCTCTGTTGAATATTAGACAATGCAATGTGCATTGCACATTTTCCAGGTGAGAAAGCTCATAACTTGTGAACAACTTCAGAGTTGTACAGCACTAAAACACAGGATTGTGCTCCTACTGCCACAAGTAAGGCTGTTTTTTTCATGCCTAGACTTTATTTTATCAGGAATGGTATGGTTTTTTTTACATCAAACTATTTTTGTAAAATAATAAAATGTATTGGAGCTTTGAGTGCATCCACAGTTTTTTTCATGCCCAGACTTTATTTTATCAGGAATGGTATGATTTTTTTATATCAAACTATTTTTGTAAAACAGTAAAATGTATTGGAGCTTTGAGTGCATCCACAGACAGCACCTCAAACCTGTGGTCACCATACTTTGACCTCAACAGGATGCAAAGCCCAGTTATCCTCAATTACAGAGGGAATTGTTCTGTGGGGGATGTGTCCACCCCGTCACCCGTGTAGTCTTAAAGGTCAGGTTCCTGTATCTCTGGTTTCTGCTCATCTTCCCACTCTGCAGGGTTTATGTAGTTCTTGCCTCTTTCTCCAAGGCTGTGGCTGTGAGTTTTACCTGAAGCCAGGTTTAACTACAGAAACATACTCACCTTGTGCTCACCTTGAGACATCTGGCCAAAGCTACATTGTGGTGGGAAGAGGCTGTGAAAAGTCCACCTTGATCTGTTAGGGGAGATTCCCCCCCACTTCTCTTTTCCTTTGTGGCTATTTTCAAGACCAGTTTCAAATACTGTTATGTTTGATCTTGCTTACCTCTTTTTGCTAGACTGTTTTCACTACATGGTTGCTTGTTGCCTTGAGCAGTGTTAGTACTAGTATTTTCCCTTATTGTTAGAGTCTTGCTAAGCTATCAAGTTTATAAAGAAGTTAGAAAAGTCCAGTAATGAGTTTTTGGATTTCGATTTGTGTTCACAGAGCAGTGTATGGTGTTTAGCTTTTAACTCACTTTTATTCTCATGTGCAATCCCTGTACTCTTGGAATAGTGAATCAGGGTGATGTACTTAAGTAAGTTTCAACTTGTATTAGGTAGAAACTTTGTGCTTCAGAGACTGTAGCAGATTCCTTAAAATCACTTCCAAAGGTATCTAGTCACGCTTCTTGTTGCACTCTCTCTGCACAGAACCTGGACACAAAAGAAAGTGGGAAGAAGCCACATGGTCGGTCGTTAATGAGCAACTTTGGTAAACACAAAGTAAGTAAAATGAGAGACTTTGCTGTTCTAGGTGTGACAATGCTCTAGAGGTGCTGGGTATGTTCTACTGCTAGAGACAAGCATGGGGAACATGGGGGCAGTGAGGAGGGACTGTGGTTACATGTGGTATATTTATTGCTGTTAGCAGTTTGGAAAGCCTTCTGAAGGTGATCAGGCAAGCTCAAAAAAAGTCTGGCCTGACCAAAAAGATAATTTTTACTAGTGGTGTGGAATTGCTGGTGTTCTGATCAAACTTGCAGCAGCAGAAGAGCAAAGCAGACATATACCTTGGTGTGCTCCTGTGTTCCAGACCCCTGTGCTCAGAGCTGGTTCTGCTCATGGCCCAGTTTCACCCTGTTCCATATCCTGGGCAGTGCTGTGCAGAGCGTGCTCTTACTGCCTGGCCTCTTGCTCTAGGGCACAGCTGTGACTGAGTACTGCCTCTGGGCTCCTCCTTTGTAAAACTGTTCTCTTCTGATCTCTTGACAGTTTTGCATATATTCTTTTTATGTGTTTGTGTAGCTGCTGGGTCAAATTTTCTGCTTGGCTGGGTCTTTGCTGCGGCAGCTCTATTGAACCAAGCAGGAGCTGATATAATTCAGATGTGTGAGGTTTCATTTTACAGCTGGACAGGCAGCAGCCACCAAAACGGACAGTGTGCCCAGGTGTCCTCCCCTTCCCATACCCTGACAAATGTGTTCCTGTCACCTGCCTCCCCTGTTCCCACACTCCCATGATGCCTCAAGGCTTGGATTTATTGAACACACAGCCTCGGTAGGAGCTGGTTCAACCAACAGCTTCTTCCTCCCCAAGTGGATTAGCTAACACCAAGTAGAACAGCAGATGGGTCTGTGCATGGAGCAGGTCTGCAGCAGACACTGTGCCACCAGCACTTTCTCTGCCCCAGCCTTCTGGTCACCCCAGCTCCTCCTCAGCATCATCCCTGGGGAAAGCTGCATCTGAGCAGGGGACACACTAATTGATGATCTGAGGAGCAGTTCAGGAAAAACAGCACTTATTAAATACTTCATAGAGCTTAATCTATGGCTTGTCTGCCCTGAAGCCAGCTAGGAGCTATCAGAAATTCTCTATGCAGACTCATATTTACACTTTGATTATAAGCTCACAGCTGTTCAAAGTGCACATTTTTCTTTCAGCAGCTTTAGCTAAGTGCATGTTATTCACTTGTGTGCTGAGATCTGCAAGTACCTGTGGTGCATGATAGTGGGCACTTCACAGAGGAACCTGTGCTCCCTGCTGGGAAAAGAAGTGCTGTGGAATGAGGTGTCAGACAAAAGTCAGCCACTAAAACTGCTGCTTACACTGAGGACTGGGAAGCATGTCAGTAGTTTAGTTACTTTAGCTACTTATCCTAATGAATATAGCAGGTTGGGTAGCCCATTTCTTTCATCTCTGCTGAAACAAATGAGAGTATATATAGATATATATTTTTCAATAATTGTATTGTAGACTGAGGCAACAGGGGCATCCAGTAACTTCCCCCTTATGCCCTTCCAGCTAGAGGGATGCCTGGGAAGCATGGATACTATTGATGTTTCTGCAGGTACAGACTTATCCACCCAGGCATATCGATCTGTCATGTTTTCAACCAGCTTTTCAAACTCTTTAAAAGCTACCAGTGAAGGAACACAGACACTGAGACTGGCTGTTCCTGCAAGTTAACTGCAGGAAATCTCCACAGTGCAGACCTTCAGATTCCAAAACTGAAACATAGCAATGATTTCCAACATAGTCAACTTTATTTCAGCACTAGAGACAGCAAACTAAGTTATGTACATTATAGGTGTGTCACAGCAGGAGAAAGAAATTTGTGCTCATTGGGCATCTAGGTATTTGAGCACAGGGATAAGGAGCTCTCCTTTATATTGTTAGTTATCTCTTGATGAGAAGGAAATTAAGCTCTCACTTGAAGCTATAGTTAGTGTTACAAAAAATGTAATGTTGTTGAAATTGGAAACTATTCTTAGGTGCTTGGGAAAAAAGGTGCTTTTGAGATTTTTATCTTTTTATAGTAACTATTTTCTTTATACTGTAACAAATGAGAATAATTTGAATGCTTGTACCTGTGGCTCAAAAGGCAGCAGAAAGATGATGTTTGAAAATTTTGCTCAGACTCTGCTGTGTTCAACTTCATGAATTAATTTGTTAAATTTTCTAAACTGGTTTGAGGGGGAAGGCTGGGATGAAAGCATACTGAGGTGGAAGGAATGCACTTTGCAGTTAGATCCTTCTGTTGTTAATTATGACATGATTCATTAGAATATCAGCAGGGCCAGTGCCAGTGTACTGGGGACAGTGGACAAATGTTGTCCTCTCACATTGGGGGGAAGCTGCAGAATACACAGGGGCCTGCAATGGACTGGCCAGTTTGCAGAAATAAATGATCTTCAGGCTTGTATTTCTCTGCTAGGCAGCAGATAGACCTGCTCCATGGCTGCAGGCTGGGGCCGTTGGGGTTGGGTGGAGTGAGATTAGGGCACAGATGCTTTGTGCTGGCTTTCCTTCCCCATGGGTGTGGAAACACTTGACATCCCACCCAGGGATTTCTGCTGTCAAACCCACAGGGGTCATTCTGGCCCTCTGCTCTAAACCTGCTGCTGCTGCTCAGCCACCTACCTCCTGATGACAGAAATGTGCATTTCTGGAACCAGCCCATCAACTAACAGAGCTTGGTTCTCTCCCAACAGAAAGCTGTGAAGGCAACATCCAAATACCATAGTGCATCAGATGATGAAGAAAGCCAGCAAAACTCCTCTGGGAAGGAAACGGGGCAGCTCCACAGGTAAGCTATGAACCACCAGTGTTTTACAGCTCAGTTAAAGCCAGAGGCATGTTACTACTACTAATATTTGCATGTTACTGCCTCAGGGAAGCCTGTTCTTAAGAGCAGGTCATTTATGACACTGCCTTCGATTTGAGGTATATTTTGCTGTGGGTGCTGTAGACCAGTATTTTGATTGTGTAGTTTGTCAGAGGTTGCAAATAGCAATTACCCTTAAGCTGATGTGTGATAGCAATACTTTTCTAATGGAAAATGCCAATCTACATTTTACATGCTGTAAATAGTGCTCAGAGAAAACTGTTTAGGCCAAACAAGGGCACATCACAGCCCGCCCAGCTTTATTACATCTCAGAATGGAAAGAAAAAGCAATAAAAAAGTGCTATTGAGAATGTCTTTGTCACTGAAATGCTCCATTTTCAGATACAGCTCAGAGCAGTCTGCCTTGGTTTTGTTGGGCAGAGCCAGGTGCAACTATTTAGTGTGTTTTAAAGGAAAGATTTTGTCTAATGTGACTGCACAGGTACAAGGGGAGCATTCATTTCAGATTCCTCTCTGAGGAGATTTGCTACGTGGTTCACAGCTGCTTATTTCCTTACTGATGAAAAGAAGAGAAAGGGGGATTAAAATGTGCTTTAAATATTGAAAAATTCCCATTTTAAAAAAATGTATGAAATACAACCCAGCAGGCTGGCTCGTCGGAGGAAAACAGTGAAGCTGTGCAGGGCTCTATCTGACCTCGTGGTGTACACCAACTCTGTGGCAGCCCAGGACATAGTGGATGATGGTAAGGCTGCTGGCATGAGGCTTACACACACCTCTTCCTCTTTCCTGTTTGAATGGGGAACATTTCTATGTTCTCAAGGTTTCCCTGTTTTTCGAAGGTGTTTTAAAAGCAGAGTGGTTAGTTACCTGTCCCATTTGCTGAAATATGGAGAAACAATAAAGCACCCTGAGAAATGTCCTTTCCCTAGGTTTCTTATGACATTTGTGTTTTAGTAGGAATTTTTAAAATGAACCTTTTTCAAATCCCTTCCTGGTTTCACAGTTTTATGGAATTTATTATCATCATAGCATCACAGAATGGTAGGGGAATGGAAGGGATCTCTAGAGATCATCTAGTTCAACCCCCCTGCCAGAGCAGGACCAAATCTAGGGCAGATCACATAAGAACACATCCAGACAGGTCTGAAAGTGTCCAGAGAAGGAGACTCCACAATCTCTCTGGGCAGCCTGTCCCAGGGCTCTGTCACCCTCACAGGAAAGAATTTTTTCCTCATGTTGAGGTGGGCCTTCCTGTGTTCAGTTTGCATCCATTGCCCCTCCTGCTATCACAGGGCACCACTGAGAAGAGATTGGCTCCTCTTTCTTGACACCTACCCCTCAGATATTTATAGACATGAATAAGACTCCCTCTCAGTCTTCTCCAGACTAAACAGCCCCAGGTCTCTCAGCCTCGCACAGAATAGTTTGAGTTGGGAGTGATCTTAAAGCTCTAGGCCCCCTACCTGGGCAGGGACACCTTCCACTAGACCAGGTTGCTCCAAGCCCCATCCAACCTGGCCTGGAACACTTCAATGTTAAGTGCCATTTAGCAACATAACAGATGTGAGTTGTGCCAAATAGATGTGACCTGCTCAGAGAGCGTGTGGTCACACTGGGCATGTGATTTGCATGTGACATGATCTATCATCGTAACTTTGTACTAAATCTGATGTTCCCCTTGACTAATATCAGTTCAACTGAGGTCTGAGCTCAAGCCCCTGTCTCCCTTGGACACTCCAGTCCCTTGGGTTGCTTTGTGACTTGTTTGATTTATCTATGCACGCAGGATCAACGGGGAACGTGCTGTCCTTCAGTGAGAGCAGAGCCCACCAAGCAGTGCAGCAGAAGGCTGAGCAGTTCATGCTCTACAACCAGAAGCAGCTGACACGGATCTACCCCTCAGCCTATCGAATCGACTCCAGCAACTTCAATCCCTTGCCTTACTGGAATGTTGGCTGCCAGTTGGGTAGGTGTTGGCAGGAGTAACTTACTTCCCACTTCTTGTGTATGTGCTTAGGAAATACCTGACACCTGCATCTTCTCTTTCAACAGTGGCACTGAACTACCAATCTGAGGGACGTGTGATGCAATTACAGAGCAGGACCAAATCTAGGGCAGATCACATAAGAACACATCCAGACAGGTCTGAAAGTGTCCAGAGAAGGAGACTCCACAATCTCTCTGGGCAGCCTGTCCCAGGGCTCTGTCACCCTCACAGGAAAGAATTTTTTCCTCATGTTGAGGTGGGCCTTCCTGTGTTCAGTTTGCATCCATTGCCCCTCCTGCTATCACAGGGCACCACTGAGAAGAGATTGGCTCCTCTTTCTTGACACCTACCCCTCAGATATTTATAGACATGAATAAGACTCCCTCTCAGTCTTCTCCAGACTAAACAGCCCCAGGTCTCTCAGCTTCGCACAGAATAGTTTGAGTTGGGAGTGATCTTAAAGCTCTAGGCCCCCTACCTGGGCAGGGACACCTTCCACTAGACCAGGTTGCTTCAAGCCCCATCCAACCTGGCCTGGAACACTTCAATGTTAAGTGCCATTTAGCAACATAACAGATGTGAGTTGTGCCAAATAGATGTGACCTGCTCAGAGAGCGTGTGGTCACACTGGGCATGTGATTTGCATGTGACATGATCTATCATCGTAACTTTGTACTAAATCTGATGTTCCCCTTGACTAATATCAGTTCAACTGAGGTCTGAGCTCAAGCCCCTGTCTCCCTTGGACACTCCAGTCCCTTGGGTTGCTTTGTGACTTGTTTGATTTATCTATGCACGCAGGATCAACGGGGAACGTGCTGTCCTTCAGTGAGAGCAGAGCCCACCAAGCAGTGCAGCAGAAGGCTGAGCAGTTCATGCTCTACAACCAGAAGCAGCTGACACGGATCTACCCCTCAGCCTATCGAATCGACTCCAGCAACTTCAATCCCTTGCCTTACTGGAATGTTGGCTGCCAGTTGGGTAGGTGTTGGCAGGAGTAACTTACTTCCCACTTCTTGTGTATGTGCTTAGGAAATACCTGACACCTGCATCTTCTCTTTCAACAGTGGCACTGAACTACCAATCTGAGGGACGTGTGATGCAATTAAATGATGCAAAATTTAGGGTAAATGGCAACTGTGGTTATGTCCTCAAACCTCAGCAGATGTGCAAAGGTAATGTCCCACTATACATTGATTACTGTGTCAAGCCTTTCAGAAAATGGTTTCTTGGTGAAGTTGCCAAGGCACAAGGAAGAAAAATGAAAACATTCTAGAATCTTTCATAGTTCCATAAGTCCATAATTTTACTGTATTTCAAAGTTCATACCATTTTTGTCCTTGAAAAATGGTGTCTGGCTCTCAGACTGTGTAAGAAAGCAGCTTACTCAGCCCTAGTTGATTCTTCTCATTAATGTCTGGGCAGCTGTGCAAGAAACATGACCAGAGTGCTGATCCAGGTTATAACTATTGCTTTTTTAGAAGCTACTGCTTTAAAGAAAGTTTTGTTTCAAACGAGCATTGATCTTGCAAGCCCCTGCTATTAGAGAGTTCTTTTCTGTTTTATAATCATGTAAACAAGGGCTGCTCAGCTCAGTAAAGGCTGTAAGAATGGAATGGAATTTTGAAATTCATTAACAGCTGCTCCCTGCTCTGTAAGACACTTGCTTATGCCTGAGTTTTGGCTAGACGTGTGCATCCTGGGTGTAAGGTTTATTCTGCGTATCTTTTTCTTTACCCTTCTCATCTCTTGCCATCTTTTAGGCACCTTCAACCCCTACTCTGCTGATCCGCTTCCTGCCAGTCCTAAAAAGCAGCTTATTCTGAAAATCATCAGTGGGCAGCAGCTACCTAAGCCTCCTGACTCAATGTTAGGGGACAGAGGAGAGGTAAGCTATTGTAGTACCAAGGCTTCCATGCAAGCTCCTGGAGTGACATGGCAGCATGTGACTCAAAGAAGCATCCTCCTTATTTAATTACACTCAGTGCATTTCAGAGTGCCAAGCTTTTGGTCACTAAATACTACATTTTCCCACCGTATCCTGTATCCTACACATGGTGTTTAAGAGCTGATTTGTTTCATATTTTGAGGGTGATTTTGAAAATTAGTCATAGGTGACCAAAGCTCTTGGGAATACAAACCAGGCATCAACCTGCACCTCATGAAGTCACCTCCCATCATTGTGCTGCTTGAAAATTCATGTCAATCAAAGGCTTTTGAATTCTTATATGAATTTCAATTAACTCTCTGCATGAATTTCCTTGAAAACTGACCTTTGCTTGTATCACGGGATTGCTTTTAAACTACTTTGTTTTTTAAAAATAGATAATAGATCCCTTTGTTGAGGTGGAAATTATTGGGTTACCCGTTGACTGCTGTAAAGATCAAACCAGGGTGGTTGACGACAATGGTAAGATAATTTAGCTCATTTCCTCTTCTTAGAGTAAAATATTAAGTAATTATAAATGATTATAAAAAATCATTTATTGCTTTCTAAATTGCAAAGCTTCTTACATGATGAAATCAAATTATTGTATTTTAAATTCTGCTTTGCAGACAGAGTTTCTGGTG